TTTAATGACTGAAGAAAACACCAAAGTTTTCTGTCTTTGCTGCCTTTAAGTAAAGAACTGCGTTGTCACTCTGCCTGAACCGTCTCTCATAGGAATCAATGGACGTCTGGCGTATTGTAACATTACATCACAGTCCACTACCACTGAGTCCAGATCATCCAGACTACCTGTCACTCTCTCCATCCATCAATCAATCGATCCGTCCTCTAAACTTCCTCAGTCTCCTTCCTCTCTGCAAACCCACTTGAGTTATTTATTTCTGCACATCATAAGTTCATGATATATACACAGATACCGTCAGATACATACTGAAGTCACGATGCAAATAATATCAACTTTATACCTTCTATACATCTTCCATCCACCATTTAACCTTTCCTTAACAGGGATCCCACGTTAGAATTATCTTATTTTAAGAGGAAGTATGTTCTCAAAATGCTTTTATATTGAAAATCAAACTTTAAAAACATTTTATACAACAGTGGAATTCACTGTCCATTCATATCATGCTATATTCTGGAGATTTTGTCTGACAGTGACACTGAATCTCAGATATAAATGTTCATTTCTCTATAATGTAACCACTGTAACGTCCGGCCTGCTCCTCCTCTCTGTCTAACATCAATATTGATGTGTGACTGGTTGTAATCTCCACTAATGAGTGTGAGAGCCAGGAAGCCGTTCAGCCAGAGATGCATCACTATTCAAGCGCTTCGTGGAATTAATAAACTCCAAACAGAAGCTACCAGAGAGGGAAACATAGGTGACTTACAGATAGTAAAGAATACCGTTTATGATTTAGATTTTGTTTACAGGCAAGTTTGTACGATTAAGTGATCAACTTTAAGAAAGGTGGATGTTGGAGTTTACGTAGAAATTCAAATTTTTACATATCATGATATAGTTGATTTCATATCTCCATAATGATGCATATCACGATATCAATCCTTTTATATTTATTATTTTATTAAGAACTTTAGTGCAAAATAATCAGACTATCTATAAAATTTAGTTAGTATGTTCTTATTATGAATTTAGACGACATCATTGTGTATCACGGTATATATTTCATCACGATATGATTCCATTGAAAATGATCATATCGAATTATCGCCCGGTCCTATTTATTTATTTCAGATGTTTAATCAAAAGATCTTCTTTTTTTTTAAATGGTTAGAGTCCCATCTGTCCCATCGGTCTCATATGTCCCATCTGTCCCATCGGTCTCATCTGTCCCATCTGTCCCATCTGTCCCATCGGTCTCATCTGTCCCATCTGTCCCATCGGTCTCATCTGTCCCATCTGTCCCATCGGTCTCATCTGTCCCATCGGTCGCATCTGTCCCATCTGTCCCATCGGTCCCATCTGTCCCATCGGTCTCATCGGTCCCATCGGTCCCATCGGTCTCATCTGTCCCATCTGTCCCATCTGTCCCATCTGTCCCATCTGTCTCATCTGTCCCATCGGTCCCATCTGTCCCATCTGTCCCATCGGTCTCATCTGTCCCATCGGTCTCATCTGTCCCATCGGTCCCATCTGTCCCATCTGTCCTGGTCTTTAACCACAGTCCATGTTGCTCTGCTGGTCTGTGTTTCAGCCAGCTGTTGAGCCCACCATCTCTGAATGCTTGAACATGAAACTAAATGATGTTTTACTTCATACAGTATTTTGTCAGATAAACAGTATAACTGGTTCTTCCCGCTCTCTCTCTCTGCTCAGGCGAGTGCTACGTTTGTGCCTCCAACGAGCCCTACCGAAAGGTTGACTACACTAAGATCTCCGTCCAGAGCTGGAAGCCAGGTGCCGGTGCCGGTGCCGGAGCCGGAGCTGGAGCCGCGAGCTCAAGCTTGAGTCGGCCCTCCACGGTGTCCGCGGGGGTGTCGGCGAGCACAGCCGCCAGCTCCTCCAAAGAACGCCTCGAGGGCCGCGAGGGCCGTGAGGGCCGCGAGGGCAGAGAGAGCAGAGAGAGCAGAGAGAGCAAAGACTTCATCAAGCCCAAGCTGGTGACGGTGATCCGCAGTGGCGTGAAGCCTCGCAAGGCGGTGAGGATCCTGCTGAACAAGAAGACGGCGCACTCCTACAATCAGGTGCTCGCCGACATCACGGAGGCCATCAAGCTGGACTCCGGGGCCGTGAAGAGGCTGTACACGCTGGATGGGAAACAGGTGAGAAGATGTTTTCAGTCTTTGGCGGATCAGCTTTAAAGTTCTTCACATTGATATGAGATCAGATGAAGAAACAGGTTGTGGTTTCATTTGGACATTCAACAATCAAACAGGAGCAGGAAATACATAAACTATTGTTCACAATACTTTACCGCACAGACTTCTGCTTTTGTAATTCCTCTCTTTACAAACGGGTAAAACTGTTCTCATACAAATGAATGATTCCAAGCTAATTGGTGTTATCGAGGTATTTTATGCTTTTGTTTTAGGGTTAAAAGAAGAGAGATTACGCTTTAAGCCTGTAGTTGTTCATAAAAGCTGACATCCAGCGATTGGTTGAACCTGCCTCCGCCCTCTCGTGTCACCTCTGGTTGCAAAAAAACAAGATGGCGACCGCCAGAAACCAAAATGGCGACAGCCTAAAACCAAGATGGCGATGGCCAAAAAGTAATATGGCGACTAGAGGGTTCAAAGCTGTAGTCCACAACACAATGGGAGAATATACTGTATATATCTATATATATACAGTATATAGATATATATATATCTATATAGATATATATATATATCTATATCTCTATATATATATATATATATATCTATATCTATATATCTATATCTCTATATATCTATCTCTATATCTATATCTCTATATATCTATATCTATATATATATATATATATAATGTATATATGATGATGATGTTAACCGCTCAGCCCTAAACTGAATTAGAATCAGAGAACACAGGCTGAGTGTAAAGAATCATATCACTGCACTTTATTATAAAATCCCTTCTGGTTTGCTGAATATCAGGATGGATGTATGCATAAAGGAGCGTCGTTAAGCTTTCCTTTTTTAGTTTCCAGGGAGCTCAGTCTCTTTTGAAGCTTAATATTTGGTACTTTTAGTGAAATACAGCGTCTGTCTGTTTTAAAGCCCCGGAACTGCGACAGTCGGCTAAAGTACATTTGTGTAACTCTGAATGAGTTCTGATCCTCCTGAAACTCTTTTATGTAACTCATACAGACTTGAGGATTTAAAACGTAACACACGTTAACTGGTGGCTATTTTTACCACACACACACACACACACACACACACACACACACTCTTTGAAGGTACAGATAAGGCTGTCGGCTGCGACACAATGAGCTGAATAAAGAGTCGCTGTGACTGAATTAAAGTTGTTGCAGCTCAGATTCAAACATCTGCGTCCACCAACAAACACACAACACTCTACACATCTACACATCCTGCAGCAGCGTCAGCCTTGTGTGCTGCCTTCAAAATAAAAGCATCCATTACATTAGAACTCTTCAGCTTTCTTATTCTTTTATTTTTTAAATGGTTCTTACTGATAAATACTAAGCTCATGTTGAATGTAACTTTGTTCTTTAGATTTTATATCATGAAACCTTTAATCAATGATGTTGAGTTATCTGCAGACCTTCATTTAGTTGCATTTGTTGGTTTCATTTAGTTTCTAGTGTTGTTTCAAGAAGTGAATATTGAGTTCATATTTTGATGGGCAGAAACCATGTGAAAAAAAATCTAAAATACCGATTAGTTTACTCTAAATGGAGGCTTTTATTTTGAAGGCAGCGCATCTTAATGAAGGCTTTTATTCTTTGTCTGCCTCAGACGGCTTTCAGACTCCGTCAGTCTGAATGAAACTCTGTGTGTGTGTGTGTGTGTGTGTGTGTGTGTGTGTGTGTGTGTGTGTGTGAGAAAGAGAAGCAAGGACAGGGTGGCTGGTTACCATGGTGACCACACTGCAGTGTCAATGTGTGTGTGTGTGTGTGTGTGATGGGGTTTTCCGTCCCTCTGCTGGAAGTGGCTGCACAAACTGAAAGGACGAAGGGAGGACAAACGCACACGCACACACACACACGCACACACACACACACACACTGCAGTTCCTGAGGCGTTGAAGCGATTGGAGAGAGGAGGTTAAATCAAGCACTAAAGGAGGTGAAATCAAGCACTAAAGGAGGTGAAATCAAGGACAAAAGGAGGTGAAATCAAGGACAAAAGGGGAGAGCCTGAGGGAAGAGGAAGGAAAGGACAGAAGGTGTCAAGTTGTGTAAAAACGCCGGTTTCTCTCAAACAACTCATTAAAATCCTTTGTTAGTACGACTTTCATCTTTATTAAAGAATTCATGGGCCTGTTAAATCTGCAGCCAGTTAGCTTAGCATAGAAACCAGCTTGTAGTAACGTAGTATATTATACTTCTACTCTTCTACTTTAAGAGGAACGTTGTACCTTCTACTCCACTACATCTATTTTACAGCTTCAGTTACTTTTCAGATTTTAGATAAAAAAACAGAATATTAGCTTTTAAAATACGATGAATTTGGACACAAGCGCTGTGGGCAGCAAGTCCCCGGTTCAATTCCCAATTGTTCGTCTCACTGTTTAAGGTAATATTGAGGATCTCTCTCTCTCTCTCTCTCTCTCTCTCTCTCTCTCTCTCTCTCTCTCTCTCTCTCTCTCTCTCTCTGCACAATTTGTATTTTACTCCTCAAGACATTTCTCAGAGATCACCGTTTGCTTCTGTGAGTCCATCTGTCTAGTCACACTCACACATGTGTGTACTGTTTCCTAAACGTTGATTATTCAGTGTGTGTGTGTGTGTGTGTGTGTGTGTGTGTAGCTGACCTGTCTGCAGGACTTCTTCGGGGATGACGACGTGTTCATGGCGTGCGGGCCGGAGAAGTTCCGCTACGCTCAGGACGACTTTGTGCTCACACAGTGCAGCAAGACACCGGCTTTCGTTAGTGGTGAGAGACACACACACACACACACACACACACACACACACACACACACACACA